TGTTACACCCTGTATATTATTATACATACTGCAGTGTTCATAAATCGTGTTATAATAACTTATAAGTACGTTAAAATGAAACAACTTACGAGACCCGAGTGTGTGGTTCAGGTTTCCGATTGCTCATATCGTACCGTTCTGCCGTCTGCCGATAATCTGCGACAATATTATGCGTACCTATTATGGTGTGCAATATAATAATAATATCAATTATGGCCTATGGGTTATCATTGATACGCGCTCGAGATTCACTCGAAATTCACTCGAAATTATTGTTATTGCGTGCATGCCTATATTTTTACACGTAATATAGTCATCGTCGSATCGTACTCGCGACAGTAAATTGATTTTCCGTGTTTTGGGCAATAAATCTTTACACGTAATCGATTTGTATAATAATATGTGTTGATTAATTGACTTTTTATCTGTGCCGTTTCGCGGTTCGAGTGTGCTGATCCGAGCAGCAGGTAGAACAATAGGTATAGATACATATATAATAGATTGTACAATAGTCTGAATGAGAAAACCACCGAGTCGCCCGACGATATTATACATCATTTTCTGGTTGCGATTCTAAAGGAGACCACTTACAACCTTGGTAACCTGCAGCTTCGAAATTGTTGGCAAGATGCTGTCGTCAATCGGCAGCGTTCAGTTTTTCCTCCTTATTTTCTTGCAGGTATCGCACCACGGTAAGTACAACCACGCGTGATGGTAAAGTTTGGCTTTCCTAACTTCACACATACTTGCCGGTATTTAACAAGATATAAGGTTTATTATTTTTATTCTTCAACGGTAACCGTGAGATTTTCTTTATAATCAATAAAGTCATCATGCGATTTATTCCAAAGAAAATACAATTAATTTTTAATTTTTTAAATTTACTTACCTATACCTATATACTCATACAATTTGCAGTTAAAATACTCTTAAGTGAGATTGATGTACTTATATGGATTTTCCACTAAAAACAAAAAAATATATAAACCAACATTATTGTCGTCAGGCCCCTCGCATTATATTTTTGGCACTGGTACAGAACTAAATCCGGGCTCTTCTTAAATAACAATTAATTTTGAAACATTTTTCTAATATGTATTGAATTATTTATTTACATCAGCGCAGGATCCCTCGAGAGTCCGGGTCCCAGTACCATGGGTTCTTCTGACCCCCCTTTTTGGGGGGGCCCTGATTGTCGTCACCAATAACGAACGAAATTCAAACACGAGACATTGTTTTCAACGCCTCAGGTCGATGAAACCAAATCAGTATCACCTATCTATATATATGTATTATTATGCCGCCATGGTCATTATAATGAGCGTGACACATTTTTACTTCACCACTGTTACACAATATTAATATATTATATTTTTCGTCGAAGAGAGATAAATCTGCGAAGGAACGAGTGGAGATTATCATGTTTGTTTGTTGTACGAGTAAATAAAGCGCGCGAGTCACGTACCTATATATATGCATAGGTACTAGATTAAACATATACTGTGCATTGCATGACCTTTTTAAAATGTGAATTTTCCGTCACATTTTCAAACCATTTTGTCCACCTTACACAAAAGCCACGTGTATAATAATAATAATGTACTGTAAATATATATAAGCGTCAGGTAATATTTGATATGCTAGTCGTATACAATCGTTACGTTCCACGATATTATATTATTATTATTATTATTATATTGTCGGGTTAAGTTAAATTATTTTGAAACGATTGGGATTCGCGGTATGAAAAAKCAGGGCACGAGTAGATCCGAGAGAGGTCATCAATCTAAAATGTAGATCACGCACAGATTATATTTTCCTCATACGTTTTTGTATACTTTATACATACAAGTAAGTAGGTACTAGGCACCTGCACTCTCGCAGTATCACATGTAATAAATTTCTCTTTTTTTTTCTACGTAGGTACAATTAATTATTATTATTATTTGTATCAATTTTCTAGACTTAAGATAGTTTTTATTATTTAATTTCAAAATCCATTGACGTCGATCGTAAATATAGTAGTAGATATAAATATATAATTTGCAAAACGATCGATTATTCTGTTTATTATTTTTTGACAAAAATTAATTTATGAATGACTAATTCATATTTTTAAGTATTATTTAAACGTATTATGTTTATACACCTGTTTAAGTATATGGTTTTATACCTATTTAAAAACTGTTACACTTAATTTTACAACATGATAAACGGAAGTCGAACGCAGTGTTTAGATAAAACCGTTAGTCATATGAGCGCGATTTCAACGACCAATAAATTGGTGTGTGYCATGTCAGGTTTAGGGTAAATCGTTTTACTCCGGAGTGCATAACGTTTTTAATTTTCACCTTTTTCATAGTTCGAGTTTGACCGCAGTTTTATCGACAACTTTTATTGAGCATAACCTTGTATATGGTGAGCGGGTCCTTCAATCCGTAGACAAAACTTTTATAGACACAGAACCGACGATGGACTATGATAATTGATAATACATAATATGTTCTATATTTTTATTATATTAAAAGTAATTAACGACTGTAGAAATGTCGGGGAAACCGTTTTTAATTTTTACTTCGATAATAACTGCTGCAGTGAAATRTGAATGACTCCCGAGTATAGTWTTACTGATGTTAGTTAATTAAAACATAGACGTGTTTTTAATTTTTAAAAATGTTAAGTTAATTAAATTACATTTTATGGATATAGGTAGGTACTATACAAATGAACAAAATATGTTATGATACATTACCAAATACGCTTACCTATGTTGTGTTCTTAACATTTGTAAAAATTGTGTGCAAGCCAAAATAATTAAACAAATAATTATAACTACCTATWTTAATGTAGTGGTTAGGTTTCATCCTGGGTAACTTAAATAGTTAAATGAATTGGGACGCACTTCGGCTACGTAAAAAATATGATATTTTGACACACTCGGGTGATATATACCTTATTCCAGAAGCTCTGAGGACATCAAATAAAGGTCATTTTCTAGACACACTTTGGAAATGATTATAATTTATAGTATATTTATCGTTTATCATACTATTATCAGTTWAGTTTACGTTTAGAAAAAATATTTCAACTGTCATTAATTTATTTTAATCATAAGTACTATTATCAAGTACATGGTGGAAATGTTGCAAAAAGCTATATATTTAGTAATAGCAGGAATAAGTGTTTAACTAATATTGGGCAAGTGCCAATTAACTAAAATTATTAAATAAACATAATATTTTTTATCAAAAAGTTTTATCGAAGAATTTATAGAAAAAAAATTAGTTTATAATCTATATACTGTACAGAAGTAAGTTATTATTTTTTCATTTACATAACAATATACTTTGTTTTATATGAATTGTAAGAATCCACGCTCAAATAAAGTAGCTAAACAATTTAAATCAAATACAAATCAAGCTTAAACTATACCTATGGTAATTCTAAGGTAAAAATTATAATCTCACTCAAACGGCAAACAAATCTTATATGGTAATTTTGGGGCAAGATTCAACTCGTACGTTCAAACAGGCGATTATAAATTATTATATACGCTCGTGTTATTATGGACGTATGAAATTTGGATAAAAATTCATATCATTAAATTCTTGAATCATATTTTTCTTAGAACTAGATTGGAGTAGTGTGTCCATGGGGAAGTTGTGGCACTTTCAGCCATCAATATATAGGTGTTTGCAGCTGCAATATAATGGTAAAAGGCTTTATACACGTGGAAACCATTCTTAGTGTTAGTATTCGAAGGACATACGCGCTTATCGTGAATTATATGCAGGGTGTCCCAAAGAGATCTGACATTCTGACAAATGAAATAACTTTTGTTCTAATCAATATTTTTTAAAAAT